ACTCGTCCGACGTGTCGAATTCATTTTCGAAACGATCTCGCGCACGCGACGATCGGAGAACCAGGGGCGGGAATCGCGGGCGAAGCGGGCGAAGCGGGCAGGCGGAATTTCGCGATCGGGGTTGGAGCAGAACGAGAGAAAGGATTGCTCGTCGATACGCGTCGAGTGATAATTGCGTACGAAACGTGCAATCCCGAAGAACGTACGCGGAGAGAATTTTCTCTTGTAGAATGCACCTTGAAAGGGCTCGTGTGAGAATCTTTTGAAACTTTGCGGCGCATCATTTTGCTAAAATGTATAACAACATTTTCAACAACTCTCATGGCGTTCTTCGAAATGCCCACGTCGTCCCACAAACTGCCACGATTTTCGGGATAAATTCTAACGGCCGGTTTCACATACGTCTGTAAGAAAACGTCGTCTAGCTCTCAGTGTCCGTACAACGTTTACACGGATCATTTCTCGATTAAATACTCTCAGCGTGTATTTCAGACAAAGCTAAATATAAGAACTGACTATAAACAAGCCTTAGCGCTCAGTGCGCACTAGTGCAAGCAACCGAATTCGCTATTGGACGCCAACGTCCTGTCGCGGCTCTTATATCCTTCATTCCTTCGAAAATGAACTTTCCTCGGCGAGAAACTGGACGGGGATTTCCACGTCTCGTTCGAGACTTTGCACGACGTAATCTCGAGCTCAATTAAAGTTACCGTGAATTTGAAATATGCACGTAGACGTCGAAATTCGATACGTACCTCCCTCCCGCTCTCCTCTCTTTCTCTTTCCCCGTCGTGACTAGGGTGACCAACCGTCCCGAATTTTGCGGGACATCCCGATTTTCGACTCTCTTTAAAGCTGTCCCGAGAGAACCTTAGGCGGGACGCCATTTGTCCCGATTTTTTACATAATGTAAGATAAATAATATAAAATATAATAATACGTCATATATTTATTAACTAAAATTCATTATAACCTTTATATTTTATGTTCCTGCTTTTATGTTCCGTTGATGATTGTTCTTTCATTTTATTTTAAGAATTTTATTAGTCTAATTTAGATTAATGATTATTTATATTTGAAAAATAGTAAAAGACTATGTTCTGTTGAATGTTCGATGTTGACTTAATAATGAATTATCTACGTGTATCTAATTTATTCAACATGCCTATTTAAAAAAATAATATGTCAAGATATATCATATATGAATAATAAACAAGAAGGGACATGTACATGCATATTACAAGGTAATCTGATATACTAATAAAAGTCCCGATTTTTTTTGGTTCTGTCCCGATTTTCGGAAACTGATGTCCCGAAATTAAATGTTTAAGAGTTGGTCACCCTAGTCGTGACCCATGCGCGCCGACCGGCGGCCGGCGGAAGAGCCGCGTGTACCGATCGCGCGGCAATTTGAAAGCGGATGCACGCGCGCACGCGGGAGCGAAAAGCCGTCGAGCCGCGTGCCGCACGACGTGCACGACATGCCCATATTCCCTCGCTCGTTTCCTCCGAATACGCGTGACGTGGTGCCCGTCGTTATCTCGTCAATGCCGTGCACGTCGGCGTCATCGTCGGTTCCCTCTTCTGACCAACGCGATCCTTCTCCCCTGCGCGTCGCCGATTCCTCCGGCTGACCCAGCCCTCTTTTCCGCTGGGGGGCCGGCGATACCCCTCGCCGGAACAGCACTCCCTTTTCTACCGCACTGTCGCTGGTTCCTTTTCTCTCCCCCCCCCCTCTCTCTTACAGGTGTCCGTATTGGAACAATCTCTTCATTATACACGGAAAATGACGTTCTTGTATTCTTTCCGTTTTTTTTTTTACGTCAGTTTTTCTCGCTACACTCATAATTTTTTCACTTGCAATTGCATCTTCCTCTTCCACTACGCACCGCTTAGATTACTTTTCTTACTGACAGAGAGGCGAAATAGAAGAAATACGCGCGTAGTGGATAAGAAACAGCCAGCACTCGTAAAAGACTACGTGCATAGATTTAGCCCATCTCTCTCTCTCGCTCTCCCTTACCCCTCTCTCTCTCTCTCTCTCTCTCTGCGCGATGCATTTCTGTAGCAGAGAATGAATGAGTCAGGATGACATTTATATCTGAAATATTTGCCAGGCCACGTGGCGCGATATAACATATATACGATACGGTGTATCTATTTCGACATAATGATGCTGCAATTGTTTGAACGTCTTGTAAAGTGAAAATGGAGATAACGTGCAGAATGAGGAAATAATGAGTCTTTTTGCTTTAGTGGTTCGCACCATTTAACACAATAATCCGGGAATGACTAACGAAGCTGTTCGACAATGTTACTGGAATTTTGCGTCTCAATTTTTTATGACTTTCCTCTTGCTCAGCACTACGTTAATACACTGACAGAAAAATGTTTTAAACCAAGTAAATAGATTTACTTAGGATTATTTTTTTACACCGAAGTAAATATTGATTCTATTTAAAGAGAAATATCAAATCTCGAGTAAATCTACGTATTATATTAAAGGGGGAGACCAGTATAGCGGACGGAAAAATAAAGGTTTTTCGTGAATTTTTTAAATGAAAACTATACATATATGTCAATCAAAACTGTGTTGTTTCTTCTTGAAGTACATCTTTTCATGTGCATTTAAAAAACAAAAAAACTGGATACGTTAGTTATTTCATCCTCTAGAGCTAACGTAAGCAGGTCCTGAAAATAAAACGGAGTCAGCTGGTTGGCAACATTCCGGCCAAACGGTTGATCTGAAATAAAAAACCAAAAAGATTCTTAAAATATATGTTTCTGGCTATCGTTGTACGTAGGGGATTTTTGAATTTCGGAAAATTACCAAAGATATGTACATTTGAAAAAAAAAAAGTATAAGTTTCATTTCTTCTTTTAGCCCCTTTTTGGTACTTTAAAAATCCAATTTTTAATTAAGAAAAAAATCCTACGAGCAACGATAGGCAGAAACATATATTTTAAGAATCTTTTTGGTTTTTTGATTTCAGATCAACCGTTTGGCCGGAATGTTGCCAACCAGCTTGACTCCGTTTTATTTTCAGGACCTGCTTACGTTAGCTCCAGAGGATGAAATAACTAATGTATCCAGTTTTTTTTAGGGCCAGTTTCACAAACGTCGGTTAACTGCTAACCGAAGGTTAATTGATCCTCTGTCTCTTCTTAGAGAACAAGATAGAAAAAGATAGGGCGTTGACTGAACTCTGGTTAACAGTTAACCAACGTTTGTGAAACTGGCCCTTAAATGCACATAAAAAGATGTACTTCAAGAAGAAACAACACAGTTTTGATTGACATGTATAGTTTTCATTTAAAAAATTCACGAAGAAACCTTTATTTTTCCGTCCGCTATACTGGCCTCCCCCCTTAAGTGAATTAATTTAAATCATTACATTTTCTACATGCAAACAAAGATTTCATGAGATATAGGATACTATTTATTAAATGAAATCATTGTTTTTGTTAAATAAGAAATTCAATTTTCTTCGCTGTGAAAATCACATCTTAGTGAACATTTTATAGAATTAAAATACAATTTTTTAAATTGAAAATTATCTATTCTTTGACATTTAATAAATACTTGAGTTAAAGCAGTGCATGTTTTAATTTGTTTATTATTTTTTAAATTTAAGTTAATAAGCTATTAGGAGCCACCTAACGAATAATATCTTTCTGGATTAAGATATTTTTTTTATCAGTGTACGACGTACGTACACGGTTTGAAGCTGCTACAATGTAAGATTGGATACGATAATTTTCCAGCGCGACACAATCAGCACTTTTGGAACTCGTCAAATTTGTTTTTCACACATTATTCCATTTTTTTACGGCAATCCACGGTTATAGATATAATCCATATAGGTAATTTTGTTCGCAACTCTCAACCTCTCGTGATGCCCATTCTACACCTAGGGATGATCCTACTTGTGGCTCATCCGATACTCCCTTCTATACCTAAACTAATCCTACGTGCAGCTTATCCGAGGAAGTAGTATAAAGTGTAAAAGTGTACACTCTGGTTGGTTTCCAATCGTACCAACGTACAAACCCAAAAATTTTCTGATTAGGTTAGATCACGAACTTGTTAGATCTTGGCGATCTTGCTACGGACGTTAGATCTTACAAACAGAATTTACAGACGCGAGGTTGCGAGTGGTTGCGAGACAAATTCATTAAAGTTGTTGACTGCAAAAGGTAAAAACACAAATTTGTATAACACGCCGTGCTTTCCAGCAAGCGACACAAGTCGACACAAGTGTCGTTCTGTCTTTATTATTCATTGAATGCGAAGAAAGACAGAATGACATTTGTGTCGA